ACACCATCGTCATCATCAGCAGCATCATCATACCATCATGATTATCATCATCACCATCATCCGCATCACCATCATCACCATCACCATCGTCATCATGGTCATCGTCTTCAATAGCAGCATCACCACCACCATCACCATCAGCAGCATCAGCATCAACATCATCACCCTCATCAGCATCGTCATCGTCGCCATCATCGCCATCATATCATCATACAATCATCAGTACCATGATCACCATCATCAACATCATTGTCATCGTCATAATCATCACCATCATCATCATGATCATCGTCGTCATCAACGACGTCATCAACACCACCATCAGCAGCATCATCACTGTCATCATCGTCGTCATAATCATCACCACCACCATCATCACCATCATCATCCGCAGCAGCATCCGCATCCTCGCCGCCATCATCAATAAAATTATCATCACCATCACTTTCAACAACAACCACAACCACAACAACAACCACAACAACAATGTCATCGTCATCGTCATCCTCCTCATCATCAGCATCGTCCTCATCATCATCATGGTCACCATCATCATCACCATCAGCATCATCATCAGCATCATCATCGCCATCATCATCACCACCATCATCATCGTCGACGTCATCGTCACCATCATCACCATGATCATAATCATCATAATCATCATCATCATCATCATCATCATCATCATCATCATCATCATCATCATCATCATCATCATCATCATTATCAGTGTTGTGATCATCGTCATCATCACCACCACCATCATCAGCATCATCGCCATCATTATGGTCATAATCATTGTGCTCGAACAATTGCCACAATCACCATTCGCAACAACATCCGCATCCTCGTCGCCATCTTCATCATCAACAACAGCAACAACAACAACAACAGCAACAACAACAACATCGCCATCGTCATCGTCATCGTCACAATCATCATCATCAGCAGCAGCATCATCATCATCAGCAGCATCATCATGTCGCCATCTTCATCATCACCATCATCGCCGTAAACAGTAACGCCATCCCAATTGTAATCATGAACACTGCCATCAACGTCATCACCGTCATCGTCACCATTGTCCTCAGCTGTAGCATCATCGGCGTCATCGTCATCGTCGGCGGCAACGTCTTCGTTCCTCGTCCTGCTCCACATCCGCACGCACTCCTCCTCCACCTCCCCATCCTGATGGGCTTGTTTTTCACCACCACCACCATAAGTTGGAGGGGGAGGTGGTCCTCCTCCTCCTCCTCCTCCTCCTCCTCCTCCTCCTCCTCTTCGTCCTGCTCCTCCTCCTCGTCCTCCACCTCATTCCCCCCTCCAACTTGTGGTGGTGGTGGGAAACAGGCCCATCACATCCTCCTCCCCTTCGCCCCCTTCCACCCCCTCCCCAGCGGGAGGTCCGCCATGTACGCAGCACCGCCCATCGCGGCCACAGCCATTGCGGCCGCCACGCGGCCGCCGCGCGGCCGAACGCGGCCGCCGCACGGCTGCTTCGACGAAGGGGGGGGGGTATCAGCGCGCCGCCCCCCCCCTCCGCCCGCGCCGACGGGGCGGCGCTGAGCCGCTGCTGGGAAAGAGAGAGGGGTGCGTCGGGACGGGGGGGGAGAAGGGAGCGGGAGGGGAGTGGGAAGCAGGTGGACGGGGGGGGGAAGGGAGAGGAGGAGGAGACGGGGAGGGGGGGAGCAGGACAGGGGGATGCGGAGGAAGAGGAGACCAGGAGGGGGAGGGCGAGGCGGAGGGGCAAGCTGGTCGCGCTCGCGTCATACCCGACATTCGACCCCTGCCGCCCATCGCTTCCCATCCCTTCCCGTTTCGATGTTCTCTATACCCGCCGACGGGGGTCATAGCGGACTCGGAACCCTCAAAGGACGCCATTGTGACATGCGCAAGTGAGCCGCGGAGCTGCAGACCTAAGAGAAGGAGGTGGCGGATGAACCGGAGAGGGAGCAGGAGGAAGAGGAAGAAGAGAGAGGAGAACGAGGAGGGACAACAGCAGCAGGAGCACGAGTGGGAAAATCGGGAGGCTGCCTCCTTCTGGTCCTCCTCCTCCTCCTCCGGCTCCTCCCTCCTCCCTCCTCCCTCCCTCCTCCGTTACCTCCTTGTCCGCCTCCCTCCTCGTCTCCCTGCCTCTCCCGGGGAGAGGGGGGAGGTAAGATGGACAGACTAGGTGCGACCGCGCCATATCTGACATCCTACGGACCCCTCGCACCCATCTGTTTCCCTTGCGATGATGTGTCCTCTGCCCGCCCGCCGGTCCGTAGCCATTTGGGCTCAAGCCATCTCGGCTCGAGGTGGCCTGAGTGGCTTGGGCGGCGCCGCACCCCCTGCCCTCGGCCGCGCGGGGCGCGGCGGATGGGGCGACAGCGCGGCCGGGGCGGGCCATGTCCGGCGGACCCTGCGGGGCGGGCGCAGGCGCAGCGTCGGCGCAGCAGGGCGGCCTCCCCAGCCTCCCGGAGGGCTGGGCCTGGGGGTGGGGCTGGTGCCTCATCCCAATGCCGCTGGCAGGAGCCGCGGGCGCGGGGCCGCTCCTCGCCCCCGCGCCGGGTGCGTGGGCCGGGCCCCACGCGGCCTGGCCCGGCTTGGCGGAAGCAGAAGAAGACAAACCCACCCAGCGGGTTGAGGAGGGCCTGCGGCTGCACGCGGCGAAGGCGGCGGAGGCCCCGGCGAGCAGCTGGCGAGCTCCCCCGCGCGCGGACCCGGCGGGTCCGGGCCGCTGCCTGCAGCGCCCGGGGCAGGAGCGACTGGCCCCCTGGCACGAGGACCGACGGCGCAGCCGGTCGGCAAGAAGAGCGACGGCTGGACGCCACCCCGGCCGGGCGCCGAGCGGCGGGGACTGCCGCAGCCCGCCGCGCCCCCCGCGCCAGCCGGAGGCCCAGCCGCGGCACTGGGAGGAGGAGCGGGCGCCCCCCCCGAGGCGGGCACGGAGCCCGGCGGGCAGCCCGCCGCCTTCCAAGCTTGGGCGGCGACGGCGGCCGACATGGCAAGGGACGCAAGCAGAGGGAAGCCCTCCTCGAGCTATTCCTACTCGAGCGAGGAGGAAGCAGAGAGCGACGCGGCGGGACCAGACGCGCCGGCCGCCGCGGCCGGGACAGCGGCCGGGCCAGCGCCACCAGCAGCAGCGCGGACGGCGGCCGCGGCTGCACTGGCTTCCGCCGCAGCGGCGCCGGCTCTGGCCGCGCCGGCAGCGCCTGCGGAGCCCGCGCGGCAGGGCACCGGGAGCACGGCGGCGGATCTCCACGAGATCCTGCGGTGTGCCGGCTGGGCCTGCTCGGTCGAGCAGATCGGGGACGGCGCCTTTTTGGTGCGGCAGGGCCAGAACCGGGCGGGCGCCTGAGCGCGGGCCGGAGCGCCAGCGCCCCGCCAGGAAGGGCCAGGCCGGGCGCACCGGACGAGCCGGACAGCTGGCCCCTGACCACGGGCGAACGCACCCCCAGCGGGAGCGAGAACAACCTTGAGGGGTCGTACGACGCGCTCGACGGCCCCTGGGGGCGCACCCTGCTCGACCCGGCGCGGGCGGGCTTCGGGCCGGCGCCGAAACCCTCTTGGGCCGACGCCGAGGACGACGGCGCCCCGGGTGGCGGTGGACGGGCCGCGGCCGGCAGCGGCCGGCGGCCAGCAGCAGGCGCCCTCGCCGGCTGCGCTCGGCGCGCCGACGGCGGAGGCGGCCCGCGGCGGCAGCTCGGCGACGCCGCTGGCCACGCCTGCTGCTGGCGCGCGCGCGGCGAGCGCCTCCCCGCCGGAGGCGGCCCGCGCAGGCTCCTCGGAGGCGCGCCTGGCGGGCGCCGCGGCGAGCGCCCCTGGGGCGGCCCGCGGCGCGCCCAGCGCTTCGGAGGCGGGCAGCGGCGGCCGAGACGGCACGGCGGCCGGCGACGCGGCGAGCGCTTCCGCGGCGGAGGCGGCCCGCAGCGCCGCTCGCGCGGTGGCGCCACGGCAAGGGCCCCCGGGAGCGCGGCCGCGGCGAGCGCTCCCAGGCGGGAGCGGCCAGCGGCCCCGCTGGTGCGGGCGCTCTGGGCGTTTCGGAGGCGACCAGCGGCGGCCGATCCGAGACGGCACGGCGGCCGGCGCCGCGGCGAGCGCCTCCGCGGCGGAGGCGGCCCGCGGCGCCCCCGGCAGCGCGGCCGCGGCGAGCGCCCCAGGGCGGGGGCGGCCCGCGGCCCCACGGGCGCGGGCGTTCTGGGCGCTTCGGAAGCGGCGGAGGGCTGGCAGCCAGCCCCGGAGAGCCGCTCCAACCGCCGCTCGCGCCGGCGCCGCCCCGCGGACTGGCCGCTGGCGTGCTCACCGGCGGGCAGCGGCGCGGAGGAGGGCGCGGCGGAAGCGCCCCTTGCCGGCGCCGGCCACGGCGCGGGCGACGAGGCCGCTTGCCTCGCGCTCGCCCGCGCTGAGCTGACCGGGGCGCTCGGCGAGCGCCTGGGCGCGGGCGGCTGGGCCACCGCGCGGGAGCTCGCGCCGCTGCTGGGGGTCGCTTTGCGCGGCCTCAGCTTCCGGGAGGCGCGGGGGCGGCTCCGAGGCGCTCGTGGAGCGCGACGCGGCCGACGCCGCCGCGCGCGGGCGGGCGCTGCAGTGGCAGCAGGCGGCTGCCGAGGCCGCGCGGCCGGCCGGGCCAGCCTAGCGGCGCCCGGCGCTGCTGCGCCGCCGCGCTGCGGGCTGCGGCGGCGGCGCCCTCGGGGCTGCCGGGGCCCCCGGCCGCGCGGCGGGGGCGCGCGCCCCGCAAGGCCGGGGCGCGCGGAGGCGCCGGCCTGGCCGCGCCTGCACTGCTTGCTTTTGCTGTTGCTTTCCCTCCCCCTCCGCTCCCCTTCCCTGCTGCTGCCCTCCTCTTCCTTTAGCCACGGGGCGACCTTCTCGAGTTGATAAATAAGAAAGAATAATAATAGTAATAGTAATAATAGTAATAAGAATAGTAATAAGAAGAAGAAGAAGAAGAATAATAATAATAATAATACTAATACTAATAAAAATAATAATAATAATAATAATAATAATAATAATAATAACAGCAATAACAATAACAATAATACTAATACTAATAATAATAATAATAATAATAACAACAATAATAATAATAGTAATAATAATAATAATGGTAGTAATAATAATAATGATGATAATAATAATGATTAGAATGATAAATGAATAATAATAAAAATAAAAAAGTATGCTAACGGAGTTCCCCACATGGGCGTTTTAATAGGGCGCGGGCTTAGTCAGGAGGAAGAGGAAGAGGCGGAGGTGCGGGGGGAGGGGTCGACGAGGATGGCCGGGTGACGGGGGCGACGAAGACTGCAATTGGCGATGGCGATGTGCAGGCAAATTTTTTGGGGAACACCTCGCGTACACGACGCGGCCAAGATAGTGCAAATCGGAACGACAGCCCAAGAGCGAGGCCGAACCTGATAAATAGTATGGTATTCGTATACCCTCCCTGGAGGGGTGGCAGGGGCCCCTCCTCGCTCAGGCGGGGCCTCCCTGGAGGGGTTGGAGGGGCACGAAACCTGATCAATAATATGGTTCGCGAATACCCTCCTCGCTCTGGTGGAGCCTCCCTGGAGAGGAGGGAGGGGCGCGAAACCTGATAAACAATATGGTTTGCGAATACTGTCCTCGCTCTGGCGGGGCCTCCCTGGAGCGCTGGGAGGGGCACGAAACCTGATAAATAATATAGTTTGCGAATACTGTCCTCGCTCAGGCGGGGCCTCCCTGGAGCGGTGGGAGGGGCACGAAACCTGATAAATAATGTATGGTTTGCGAATACTGTCCTCGCTCTGGCGGGGCCTCCCTGGAGGGGTGGGAGGGGCACGAAACCTGATAAATAATATGGTTTGCGAATACTGTCCTCGCTCAGGCGGGGCCTCCCTGGAGCGGTGGGAGGGGCACGAAACCTGATAAATAATATAGTTTGCGAATACTGTCCTCGCTCTGGCGGGGCCTCCCTGGAGGGGTGGGAGGGGCACGAAACCTGATAAATAATATGGTTCGCGAATACTGTCCTCGCTCTGGCGGGGCCTCCCTGGAGCGGTGGGAGGGGCACGAAACCTGATAAATAATATGGTTTGCGAATACTGTCCTCGCTCTGGCGGGGCCTCCCTGGAGCGCTGGGAGGGGCACGAAACCTGATAAATAATATGGTTTGCGAATACTGTCCTCGCTCTGGCGGGGCCTCCCTGGAGGGGTGGGAGGGGCACGAAACCTGATAAATAATATGGTTTGCGAATACTGTCCTCGCTCTGGCGGGGCCTCCCTGAAACCTGAGCGGTGGGAGGGGCACGAAACCTGATAAATAATATGGTTTGCGAATACTGTCCTCGCTCAGGCGGGGCCTCCCTGGAGTGCTGGGAAGGGCACGAAACCTGATAAATAATATGGTTTGCGAATACTGTCCTCGCTCTGGCGGGGCCTCCCTGGAGCGCTGGGAGGGGCACGAAACCTGATAAATAATATGGTTTGGGAATACTGTCCTCGCTCCGGCGGGGCCTCCCTGGAGCGGTGGGAGGGGCGCGAAACCTGATAAATAATATGGTTCGCGAATACTGTCCTCGCTCTGGCGGGGCCTCCCTGGAGCGGTGGGAGGGGCA